CTCTCACCAGTTTACTCTTCTGTAAGATGCAGCAGGGAATAAACAGGTAATACTACCTTACTGATGTCAATGAGAGCTGTAGTAACCTTTCAATTAGGAAGAAACTGTCTAGATATTTAATAGTTCTTGAATATGTGTATTTGTGTACCTTGTATCTACATTTGCATAAACAAAGTGAATTTATGGATGTATGTCCTTTCTCACTGCTCTTCTTTAAAATTATCCTAAACTCAAATTGGGGACATTCTTTAGTAAGTCAATATAGCATTCTGTGTGGTCATGTTTATTTATGTATTACATATCCATATTCCTTCAACTGTTAACAATAACAACCAACCAACCAAAGAAACATACAAAAATAGTAATGCTTAATGCTGGCCCTTGATGTTCTTCTCCCTGACCTAAGTTTATCGCTTTTGTAAAAGCCCATTTTTTTTCTAGCATGCCTCCAAGATTCTAGATATTTCATAATGGCAGAAAAAAATGACTTGTTTAAAAGCTTCTTTATATAGTGTAGACAATACAATTGCCAGAGCAAATATGGGATGGAGTAGAATATATGCACTGAGCAGTGGAATTTTCATTTCAGAATAAGCATATGACTTTCTTCTCTCCAGGATGTAGCATAATATTCACTCCTGATTATTATTTATAATATACTCAGTAACTATTTACAAATCATTCTGAGAAAAAAAAATAATTATTTATGGGTTTTGATCATATTAGGAAATAACGCCCATATTTAATATAAAAGTCTTAGAAACAACTTCAAGTAGAACAACTTCAAATAGATTTCCTTCTTATTAATAGTTGATAATATAACAATTTTTGATTCATCAGTTAGGTAATCTGGTTCACAATTTAAAAAAAATCTGGTGAGTGTATTGTGAATTGTAAAAAGTGAACTTAAAAACATGACTTGTTTCAAGATCAAAACCCCAGGTGGCCCAATAATGTATTAAGTTCTTCCGAGACAGTATCGATGTTCACTTTTAACCACTATTTTAAAATAGATCAACGGAGTGACTGTGTAGAATTCTACTCTGTCATGTATATGTGCCCTTTGTACTTTTCTGTTTAGTTGATCTGAGTCTAGGGCCTTTCTTGGTTTGAAATAAATGTTTCCATCTTTGTCAATACTGTTGTTAGGACAATGATTATAATAGAAGTTAAGGATGTATTCAGGAGAAGTTTCTAAACCATCCTAGAATCACCTGAGTTTGGTAAGTGGCCCTGTTATTCCATCCCTAAGGCTAATTAATTAAGTAGATGTTACTCATTAGAACACATAATCACAGATTTTCCTGAGATGTTCAGCCAGATATGAAAGTTGTCCCCTCCACCCATTATTTTTTTTTGTCATAAAAAGTGTTCTGAACCTGATTTCCAAAGATATAACAGTAATATATGAACTACAATATTGCAAATATTTCATTGATGTGTGACTATTGGGGAAAATATAGGCATCAAATAGTGGGGTTTTTTTTTTTACAGTCCTGTGTTATGAGAAAGGTTATAAACAATGGTTCTCAAACTTCAATGTATAGAAGAAACACATAGGGGGTTTCCTCTTAAATGTGTTCAGATGCAGATGGAAGACTCCCAGGTGCAGTTAGCAGAGATTCTTGTTCTGTAGATCTGAGGTGCTACCTAGGAATATGCATTTTAAAACAAGTACTCCAGAAATGATTCTAATGCAGGTGGTCTGAGTGCAGCTTTAAGAAATCCCGGTCATAAGACTCACAGGTACCATAGTAATGGTGAGAAGTAACTTTTACTAGACATGGTGAAATCTGTCCAAAGAAAAGCCATTTTGCTTCTGTTAAAAACTTCTTAAATATTCAGCTATTCAGGAAACCACCTGAAGATAAATGTTAACTTGCCTAATTATGTAAAAGGAGGAATAGTAATACAGTAGTTAAAATATAAAAATGGAAATCTGCTTTTTTTTAAGGATCTATCAAACTTCCATCAATTGTAATCAATTTTTACTAATTAGTACAAGGTTTAAAGAAATATATATTGAAAAGGACTGGGGTGGGGGAGACACACTGGAAACCACAAAACCCTTTCCAAGAGTTAAAAATAAATGTTGTGTTTTTTTTTAGCAAAAGTGAAAAATGTAAGCACATTTTTTTTCTAATTTATTTTTGAATTGGATAATGAAAAGTGAATCAGCATTAAGTTTTTTATTCAATAATTACCTTTTAAAGAGTTATTTAACAATTTGGACTTTAAAAAAATGTTATGTAGGCTGACTTCTGAAATCAAAATAGAGTACCCTCTTAAAGGCAACAAAATGCATTTATCCACCATGGATGGAAATTTACATTTTAATTTATGCCTATTATCTGTGATCATAAAGATTTCATTCATAGGCTACTCACAGTTATCTGATGCATACAGAAGTGTTAAACAACCAGTAGTTCAGTAGTTTCCTCATGAACTAACGTAAAGCAAAAAGCAGTGTGCATATTTAAACATTACCAGTAACCAATACTCTTCAAAATGAAAAAAGTTTCAATTATACCATGCTTTTCTCAAATCATGCTCTTATTTATACAGATCTCAAGTTCAACTAATTAGTTTTAAAAAGATCCAAAGCTAAATAGCAGAGTAAATTTTATTCTGATTCTTTTTTTATCGTTAGCACGTTTCCCAGAAGTCCATAAACTTCTCCATTTGCGTTGTGTGGGCAAGAGGCATTGTTTCTCATATGGCTATTATAAGGGCTTCTTAAATTTAAGAAAGAAGCTTCAGTTTCTGCAGCAGGAAGTAACTCTTCTTTGATTGTAACCTGTGAGACATTTCCAGCAGATGAAGGCTCCCTCCAAATGTCCTTGTCCTGTGTTTCTCGACTGGTAACAGAATTGCCTCCTTTCTGGAGCATGTAATACAGTATTGGGTTAGTTTTGGTCAGTCTTGGAGAGTCTTTTTCATACTCATTCTTATCCATGTCTGTGATAACCCACTTAATGGGTCCCTTGTCACTGGTCATGGAACACCCATTAGAAAATCCAGATTCTGGTCTAGACCCCACACAGCCCAAGCGGTCAGGAAAAGGAGGACTCATGGGAGTTTTTACTACTCCTGGGTATGGAAATGTCCTGTTATCCATGGAACTGCTGGGCTGAGAAGAACTGTACATCAGTCCATTTAAAGAAGAAATGCTGAATTCAGGTTTGCTATTGGTCACATTATTTTTGTGTCCTTTCTTTTTACTCTCAACGACAGAGTTACTCCTGTGCTGGGACAAATCTCTCATGCAGTTTTCTGAGAGAAGCAGCTGTTTCAGAACATTAAAGCTTTTGCTCTCTCTCGCCCAACTCCTATGTTCACTTTCACTGGCTGAACCATGACTGGCAGGATATTTAAATTCAAGATCATTTCTGCTAAATTTCAGCTCTTGCTGGTTAATCAAGGACCCATACAGCACCTCTGGGGCACTGTGACTGTTTGCAGCATCGAGGATGCTATTTTTCATCTTTTTAAATGGATTTTCTAATGGCTCAGTATAAAGCTTCCTTTTTTTAGGGACCATGCAAAGATTCTTTGATTCTAGAAGTGTCAGTTCACTATGTCTGTGACTGTTGTCCAGATCATCGGGCAGGTAACTCTCTTGATTTTGTCTCAGCAGTCGACTTAACAGACCATTCTTTGAGAAAGAAAAATCCTGAGGTGAAAGGGGCTCCGATTTCAAGTCCTCGGAAGCTGGTAAGGCAGCTGCACTTCTCTGTATGGGGGGAGCCATATCTAAGAATGGGGCACACTCAGCATCATGGCTCAAGTGCACATCTGTATTATGAATATGTAAGTCATCACAAGGCTCAGATTTTATTTTTACCATCAATATTTGTTCACTTAAAGCTCTATCTGTATGTTCCTGAGTACTTTCCTCTCTCAAAGGAATTTTCTCTTTCTTTTCACTCTTCCCTTTGTTGGGGTTTCCCAGGAGCAACTGGAGAACAGTGCGCCTTTCAAGCAGATTTTCTATTTCAGAACCAGAAAGTCTTGGTTCAGAACCTGTTGCCTGACTATTGAAGACTTTACTTTCTTCAACTGCATTTGTTTTATTTGAGAGCAGAGGGCTACTTAGTCTATCGATCATAGCTATGGGTTTATCTGTGTTTACACTCAGCTGTTTACTGGGTCTCTGCTCCTCTCCTGAAGTGGAAGACTGCATTCCGCACTGCGCTAAATTTTGTAACAGTTTACTGGCACTGAAAGTCGCAGAGTTCTGTGTACTTTCATTACGGACTGGTTTCTCTCCTTGCGACTCTTTGCTCTTTGTAAGATCCATCAAGTGGTTAGATGTGGTGTTTGTTGGTTTTTCAGACTGAGTGCTGCAGGCGTATGGTGGGGAGTTCCATTTGATAACCAGAGAGTGCTGGGAGAGATTGATGGGAGACTCTGCTTTGGTAGATGCAAGTAATGGAGGAGTGCTCACAGGAGTAGTCCTATGTGTGCTGGGGCTTTCTATTACAGAAGTCCTCGCATACATCTGTTTATTGAATTTTGTCACATCACTCTGTACTTCCTGAGGGCTGTTGTTTCTTTCCACATTTTCTTCATTCTTATGGCCGAGTAGCAATTGAAGAAGTGTTACTTTCTGGTGTGAATTTAGCTTAGAATTCTTTGAGGTATCTTGATCTTCTTTAATATCTACGTTGGGGACTTTTGGATCCCAAGTGTTCAGCAAGGATTGTGTTAAGTTATCCAGAGAAATAGATTGGTCAGGTTCTTGTTTTTCAACTCTGTGTTTGCAAGACAAGTCTATGGGAACACAGTTGGAATAAGAACTTTCATCACCACTGCTATCATCTGTAAAACTAGGGTTATTATCCGAGTATTCATCAATAGTTGTAGGTGTACTACTATCCTCAAAAATGCTTCCTCTCTCACTATGATTGTGTCCATTCATAGGTGCGGTTATGGTCTGGCTTTTAAGAAGATGTAAAAGCAAACTATTATTTGCAGCTTGTTTTATGTTGTTTCTTTCCTGTGAGTTCTTATAGCCTGCATTTTTTAGGGAAGAAGGAACGATACCCATTGGATTTTGAAATGTTGTACTTTTGCTAGTCATTAGTGTGCTCGATGATGTTCTTGCTTGACCATTAAGATGGCTTGACATTCCTTTTGAGAGATGGAAACTGCTGACATCCTTCTGGCCATTTTCTTGTAATCTGGCCATAGCAGCAAGTCTTTCACTTGCCACTTGATTTGCATTTTGTGTTTTTAAAGCATGTTCCCGAGAATACTGCTGTAAATGGGCTTCACTTGAAAGGAGTAATGCTAACTGACTACAAGCAACACTAGGTTTGGGTGAAGTGGCAGGACTAGCCCTTTTTTCCACCATGCTTGCAACAGCCTGTAATCTTGCAGCACATGACAAGGGTTCACTCATGACCTTTGTACCACTTTGTCCAACGCGATGAGGTGACTCTACAAACCTGTCTCGGATGAGGTTTTTAGTTACGTCAGGAAGATTGGTATCAGGCTTTTGATCCTTAGCTTTACTCTTTTTCAACAAAGTTTTTAAGTGACTTGATGCAACACCATAGCACCTTAAATCTTTCTCTACTTTTAAAGAATCATGACTGAGGGCATATCCTTGCTCCTTGAGGCTCTGCCTAATTTGTTGTGACAGAGCAACAGTCTGCAGCCTAGAGCTGAACGACTGAAGCAAAGAGGCCAGTAATGTGCTATCCTGTTTGCCTTTAGGCACACTGTCAACCACGCCAGCCAGCAAAGCTTCCTTCTTTACGTTTAAATTTACGATGGAATCAGACAGTCTCTTCCGCTTTGCAGCATTCCAGTCCTCAGAAGACTGCAACAGTCTGGCTTTTTTGAGATGTAGCATGCCAGATCCCTGATATGTATGTGTATTGAGAACTGGACCATTACTCTGACAGGAAGGAAATGCATGACCAGAAATGTTAAAGTCCTGATCTTCATTATGCCCAGCAGACTTTTTGTCGACGGCAGTACCTGATCCCTCTGCTGCCTGATGCATTAGTAATCCTTCTAGGTAAGTTAAAACAACAGAATCCTGGTGCACATCGGAGACAAGCTCTTCTCCATGAGTCATGTTCAATAGAAGTGTCACGAGGGCTAGGTTTCTGTTCACTTTAAAGAATGGTTTTCTGTGGGTGAGTGAGATATAGCTTTAATAAGTGAGTGTCAGTTTATCATCTTCCATAGCAATTAGACAGTGATGTACGGTTACATACTGAACAGGATTTCTTCTGGCAATGACAAGATAAGAGGCAAACAAACTCCAATGCAGTCTGACACAGAGCTGATCAACTCCTAAGTAAGAAAAAGCAGAATTCCTTAATACATAGGTCTGCAGCAGCAAGCAGATATAATCCTTGGTGAATATCTTGAGTCTCCTTTTTCATCTTTTGTTCATTAAATGCAAATATCAGTGTTCTAAAAAATATAAACACAGAAAATAGTTAAGGAGGTGCAGAATTAGAATTGTACTATGATACCTACAAGCAAAAAAAAAAAAAGTACTTGTACTTTACATATATACTATAATATACATAAGTATGCATTATAGTCACTTCTTTAGTAGTTATTGCCATTCCTATTATATTAGAAATCTGTTGGAAATGCTATGAATTAAATATTATAAAAATGATCAAATCAATTAAATACTTTAATATTATTTAACTATCTTCCAAAGCCCACCAAGTTTTTGAATTTTCACAGGCACACTTCTGCCAAGTAATGTGAATGCTTAGTCTACTTTATAGCAATATAGCTCTGTAAGGGAGCTAGAATTAGTTCCTTATATTACAGGGAGCTTAGGGAAAACAGGCAGAAGTGCAGAATGAGAGACTGAGATGCACATGGCATGGACCCATCTGATGAGTCGAATGTGGGTGAGGCATACAGAACAGATTCACTTCTGGCATCCTCCTCCAAACATCAGATATTCCGTTAGCTAATTTTTTTAGAATTTCTGTTTTCAAAGAAATGAATGCACTAAGGATAAGATTATTTTGTAGGCCTGTGCAAAGTATTGACAGTCTTAGTCATATTCATAAACATTTAAATATTAATAACAAGCTTATTTATCCTTAATTTTTACCATGACTTTAAAAACAGCAGAGAATTGCCGAAACCGGTTTGGCTCAGTGGATAGAGCGTCGGCCTGCGGACTGAAAGGTCCCAGGTTCGATTCCGATCAAGGGCATGTACCTTGGTTGGTTGCGGGCACATCCCCAGTAGGAGATGTGCAGGAGGCAGCTGATCGATGTTTCTCTCTCATCGATGTTTCTAACTCTCTATCTCTCTCCCTTCCTCACTGTAAAAAATCAATAAAATATATTAAAAAAACAGCAGAGAATGATTCTTTATGTGCTCATTCATAGCTATCAATGTTTTAATGTGTCAACTTTTATTTTAGATTTTTTTTAATTTATTTTTTTTCATCACCATTGATCCCATCGACTTTTAAAATTTTTACTTATGTGCTCTATGTAGAAATTTAAATGTGAGGTCCATTCCTATCAGATGAAGAAGACAAGTTACAGGTAAATGTGTAACCCTATTTTTGTAAGACATTCCTAATATAAAATACTCTTCTTCCCACCCATGCTATTTCTTTTTTGTGAATTTATATCAATAAGTATAACTAAATTAAAATAAAATCTATGATTTGAAAAATCTTTTAAAAATATTTTAAAGTGAAAAACAATTTAAAAAATGTGTTAGGATACTTGCATCAATTTTTACTTTAAAAAATATGGTTGCTATAGTACATATACATATAACTATGTGTATAAACTAAGCTAAGCACATCAACATGTAAAAAAGTGGAAAAGAAAGACATTTAGAATAGATTTGAAAGGAAGGTGAGTAACTGCTTCCAGAAAAGTCTATCTAAATCAAGGTGATTATTTTTCATTAATCTCTTTGAGAAGTTCTATAAACAGCACCAATACATACAGCAGAGAGAGGAAAAATAATTTCTCATAGAAACCTGCTATTTAATAAGAAAATCTGTAAATCAAAGATTGTATTTCCTGATAGACTGCTTCAGGTGCCACTCAGTAGCAACACCTACCACCATTCCAGCAGAAAATGAAATGCCTAAGAAAGTAGAATTCTGAGACTTCTTAAGGCCTAAATTCACTCAGACCCTACAATTTAAAAACTCTAGGAAACCGAGTGAGCCAAATTTCTTTAGATAACTTCCTTTTCTATCCCTTAAACAACCAAAGTGGGAGAAATCCTTTTTACATCTTTTCTACGTCTTACCTTTTCATTTCTATAGTATAAACTTTAATTGAGAAATTCAGGAAAAAAAGAAAAGGAGGTATAATACTTAGATATAATACAGCTCATTGAGACCTACAGCTATTATAGTATTATGAATGTAAAATATTACTAATGCCAATACATATACTTCTTAATGTTAAAATTGCTTAATTTCAAGATAGAATTAGCTGGACTCATTTTCTTTTAGTAAAAAGACAACTACACAATTTTTAACCACCAAAATAACATTTCACTTGCTTGGTTTTATAAGCATATTACTTCAGAATGTCACCAAATGTTTAACATTAATTGAGTATATTCAGTTAAAAATATTTAAATGTTAACACACATTTAAGGATTTGGCTTCTTCTATACCCAATCTATATGCATGCCTGTATTAATTGCAGCATTAACAATAGTCAAGATATGGAAACAACCCAAATGCCTATCAACAGGTGAACATATTAAAAAGATGAGATATATATATATAATATCTATATCTATCTATCTATCTATCTATCTATCTATCTATCTGACAACACAGATAAACCCTGAGAACATTATGCTAAGTGAGATTATGTGAGAGATAGATTAAGTACTGTATAGTATGACCTACATGTAGAATCTGAAACAGTCAACCTGTAATAAAACTAAGAATAATATGGGGTTTTAAGGGGATAGGAAATGGGGGATAAGGCTGACAGTATTAGGGTACAAACTTGTAATCAGTAATAAAGAAGCTTAAGGTGATGGAAGATGACTTGACTTTGGGTGGTGGGCACACAACGCAATATACAGATCATGTATCATAGAAATGTACACTTGAAACCTATATGATCTTATTAACCAACTAGAGGCCCGGTGCACGAATTTGTGCATGGGTGGGGTCTGACAGCCCACCCCACTGGACGGGGCCGGCTGTGGGGTCTAATGCTGGAAGCTATAGCTTTCCACCAGCTGGATCTAATTATACTTTAAGGATGGCCAAAAGAAAGCCCACAACAGAACTGTTTTGCATTTCATGTGCCATGAGCTGAAGTTGTTTATGTGTTGTTTGAAATGTATATCAAGATGGATGATGGCCCTTTAATAATTTTTGCATTCTTCCCGGGGCTCTGCCCTCAGTTTCTCAATATGATCTTCATGTCTGTTTGTTTAAAAGTTTTTTTTGTTTTTGAATGTGCCTACCCTTCGTTATTGCTCCTGGCAGCCTGGGGGTCCTCTTTGCCACCCCTTTAAAGAGAGATTGAAAGCTCACCTAATCTGCAAGGCACCGCAATTTCACAAAATCTCCATCCAGCCTCTCTACATTCCTCAGAAAAGGGCCACCATCCCGTTAATGCTGAGGTCGCCTTTTTGGCTAACTTGGAAGGTCTCCTGGGGCTGCAGGACGTGGAGGGAGAATTCCACACCTTGGCTGCAGTATTAGCAGAGCCCTTTGGAGACTCTGGTTGGGGACAGAAGGGACTGATCATTATTTTCTTGTGCTTTCACTAAATGTACATGCACCAGGGAGCCAGGCAGTGACTTAGGGGTGTTGGGGGCCGCTTGGGGGTGGGACTTGGCCGGGGCAAGGGACCACGGTCATTCTGTTCATTCTGCCATTCGGTCACTGGACTTTTATTATATAGACTAGAGGCCCGGTGCACAAAAATTTGTGCACTCGGGGGGCGGGGGGAGAGGGGTCCCCCAGCCCGGCCTGTGCCCTCTCGCAGTCTGGAACCCCTCGGGAGATAATGACCTGCTGGCTTAGGCCTGCTCCTGGGTGGCAGAGGGCAGGCCCAATCCCTAGGTGCAGCCCCTGGTCGGGCTCAGAGCAGGGCCGATTGGGGAGTTGGGGCGCCGCCCCGTCATGCACAGAGCAGGGCGGATCGGGAGGTTGCGATGCCACCCTCAGTCACGCTCAGGGTAGGGCCGATTGGGGGGTTGGGGCACCGCCCCCTGTCACACTCAAGGCAGGGTCGATGGGGAGGTTGTGGCACCACCCCCTGTCACGCACAGAGCAGGGCAGATAGGGAGGTTGTGGCGCCGTCCCCTGTCACACAAAGAGCCGCAGGGCGATCAGGGGGTTGGGGAGCTCCCCCCTGTCACTCACAGAG